GGCCCAGGCCAAGCCTACAGGGGCTTGGTCCATTGTTCCCACAGCCTCAGCCACTGGGAGCAGCCACCCACACCCTAACAGTGACATCATCTATAACCACCAGGAAAGAGTGGACCCCTGCCTGCAAGAGGAGACCATATTCTTTGCCTGCCTTCAGGTTGGTGCCTGTTGGTAGTGAGCCAAGGGCTGTGGAGCTGCGATTCCCTCACTGTGTTGTTGGGAGAGAGGATTTAGCAAACCATGGAGAATGTATAGGCTGCCACTATGGCATAATGCATAGCTCATTTTCCACTATGAGTACAGAATTGTGTTTACATGTTTTTCCTTGGAACTATGCAGAAAGCTAGCCATTGGGGCCCGTTTGGAGAGATATGCTTCCACACATCCTGGCCCATGCAGGTGCTCTATAGCAAGGAGCTTTGGTAAACAACCTGCTAAAGAATTTTTTGGAAAATTATCATCATCATCGTTGTCATTGTCATCGTCATCATCATCACAAGGTTTTATTATGTCGCCCAGGTTAACCTGGAGCTTTTGATCTTCATGCCTCTATCATCTGAGTCCTGGGACCACAGACATAGTCAACATATCTGGCAATTTGAGGAAATTTTGTTAAGGTAACTCCTACCGTTGAAAGTTTCTGGAAAATAGACAAATAGAAACCAAAAAGAAAATTGCCATTACACAGTAAGTCTACAGTTGAAATATACAGTTGCTCCTAAGTGCAGTGTCTCCTAATGTTTGCTGGAGTCCTTCTCCAGTTCTCCCATGTCTTAGCTGTGTGACCTGGAGAGTTTTTTAACCTCTCTTTGTTTTCATGTCTACATCTTTAAAATCAAATACAGGGTCTTCTTCCTGGTGTCCCTGTGAACATCAAATGAGTTTGAAATGTGAAACCCAGGCTGAAGGAATGCATAAGCATTCAGAAGAATCCCAGAACTCATGTAGGGAAAAGAGGGTGGGCATGGTGACACACATATGCTTGTAAACTCAATACTGGGGAGGAAGAGATGGACAGGTCTCCGGGGCTTGCTGGTCACCTAGTGTAGATTAATTGAAGAATTCCAGTGAAAATCTCAGATAAATGATGGATGACACCTGAAGAACAACCCAAAAGGTTGACTGCTGACCTCCACAAGCTTGAGCACATGCACACACCCACATGAACATGCATGTCATAAGCATGCGTGCGAGTGCACACATGTGCACACACGTGCGCGCATGCGCGCGCGCGCACACACACACACACACACACAGACACACACACACACACACACACACACACAGACACACACACACACACACACACACACACTGAAGCCAAACACACCATAAATAATGAATATGTATTGTTGTGCACCCATTTCCACCCTGCCTTTGGCTGAAAACTAATTTCTGCCTTATAGAAGAGCCTCCCACATTTACTTAGTTATTTTCTTAGCATAACTTTCTAGAATATAGTTTAAGGATTTTTTGATAATAAAGGTTTTTGAATTGCATGAGTCACACTCAATTACACCCATTGTTTTAGTTAGGGTTTCTATTGCTATGAAGAGACACCATGACCATGGCAACTCCCATAAATAAAACATTTAATTGGGGTGGATTACAGTTTCAGAGGTTTAGCCCATTATCATGGGGGCATGCAGGCAGAGATGGTGCTGGAGAAGGAGCTGAGAGTCCTGTATATTGATCTACAGAAGGAGAATGTGTCTACACTAGGTGTAGCTTGAGCATAGGAGACATCAAAGCCACAGTGACATACTTTCTCCAACAAGGACACACCTACTCCACCAAAGCCACATCTCCTAATGGTGCCACTCCCTTTGGGGGCCATTTTCTTTCAAACCATCACATTCCACTCCCTGGCCCCCAAAGGCTTAAAGTCATATCATAATGCAAAAAAAAAAATGCATTCAGTTCAACTTCCTCCACAATTCCACACCTACTCCAACAAGGCCACACTCCCTAATAGTGTCATTCCCTACGAGCTTATGGGGGCCAATTACATTCAAACTACCACACCCATCACGAATTGAAAATATTATAAATGAAGAATGTTCCTTTAAATACATTAACCTACCAAACATACCTGCTGGGCCAGTGGTATCTTTTTCTCTATCATATTAAAAGATATCTTATTAAAAGTTATCTTATTAAAAGATAAGAAAATGTTTGGAACAAAGCAAAGACTTATTTATTTAATTTATTTATTTATTTAGTTAGTTAGATTCTGTGAATAGAGGGGTTCAAAGCTGGTAGACATTTTCTACGAAGGCACTTGCGTTTGTGTTGCATTTGGTGTCCTCCGCCCCTCCCCCCGCCCCAGTGATCCTTTCCCTCCATTTTTCTACTGGCCTAAAGGTGTCATGTGCCCCTCTATAGTAAGGTTTTCTTCTTTTTCTAGCCACAAGCATGGAAATAACTGCAACAGACCCCCCCCCCCCCCCCGGGGTTGCAAAAAAAAGAAAAGGGGGGAAAAAAAGCCT